GCCGCAGTTCAGGAAGGAACTTAGGAATAGCAAGAGAGAAAAGTGTTATTTTCTGAACCATGCTTGTTTGTTGGTCCCCCCCCTTCACACCTTTCCAGCCTTTCAGCAAGTTTCTTATTGATTAAGTCACATGTTTAGATACTGCTAAGACCTTAATATTAAAACCAAGGTTATAACCATGGTAACAAACCAATAACTTATACTTTCTTTGCAAATACTTTCTTCCCCAGTAGCCCTTGTTGGGACAGTCCTGACGTTGTTGGTGCTTTGCACTTACAAATATTCTCTTACGCTGGGAAAAGGGATTGGTAAACTCAACCGAGGTGGGTCGTCCCTTCCACTAGTCACTGTTCACCCATGATAGGCTGCTCTATTCAGGGTGCTTTTATTACTGTTGCGGTGGGCAGCGGCTGGCAGCAGCATCACCACCACCCCTTCCCAGGCCTGAAATCTCATATTCTAAAGCAGCTTGGTTTCCTCCACTGAGGATTTATAATAAACTCCGCAGAGTTGAGAAAAGGCACATCAGACTGCATGAGCTCCAGCAGCATCATTAGAATATCGGTCACCATTTTCTTGACTTCTTTTGCGTTCAGATGGTACAATTCTGATAATAGTGATGGTGGAAGAGGTCTGACCCATCAGTGCTTATTAGTCATTCGAGGTATAGTATTTTGAAAGCATATTTACGATTTATATTTCAGTAGGAAATTTCAACATGGTTCTTTATATTGCTAGTTCTAACATTAGTAATAAGCCCTTGATTAGATTAACTTGCTCTTTTGCTGTCTTGTCCTTTGAAGGTGGGTTGAAAAGATAACTGCCTCATGCACCGTCCAGCCTTGTTGATCAGATCAGGTGACTATCGTCAGCTTCACAGAGGAATACTATTCCTGGGACATAGAGTGTTCTTCTGGGAAATCCTACTGTGAGTTCCGGCTAAAAGAGGGAGACAGGGACAGGAAATATAAAGGGTGTGTTATGAGTTGCAATCGAATCAAGAGCCTGTGGGCCGTCCTAAACTACGCTATTAACCTTCTGTTCTGCCAATGTACGTGGTGTCTGTGCAGCCAGTGCACATTTGTGATTGTAGATGGTGATAAACACAGGGGAATACCTGCTGATACATATTTTAGCCGGAGCAAAGGCTCTTGTTTTGGGATTCACTAAAGGTCAGAGGTATGAAATCTAATCCACATTCATTAAGACTCACATTAAATCTTCCCCCTCTTTAATGTTCACGTTCCTCTTGTGCTTCTTACGTTTACTGCCTACTCCTTTACTACCATCACCAGAGACAGAAATGGAAAGCACAGCAAAAACGAAATGCCTTTCTGTAACAGAGACCAGAAGACCTGGACAGTGCCCAGCGCCCATGACCACTCACTCTGAAAGGGATGGTGTCTGAAGGTCTTGAGCAGAGTGGGAGAAAGTATGAATCATAAGGTAGACCAGGTTTATTGCACAGATAGAGACCAGTGGGACCCCCAAGATAATGACCCTTACTCTTCAGGTCTGGAGCTAAAATAAATTTACATTAGAAGAATCCAATCAACCATTTGAGATCAAAAGGGCCACATTTACCCAAAGACAAAGCTCAGAGTGCTCAGAACGCAGGAGAAAGAGAAAGAAGGCGGCAGTGCGACAGTTGGTGGTGCGTTAAGGGGATTGCAAGGCTGAGTTGCATCAGCACGTGTGTGAGTGAGTGAGTGTAACCGCTCTTTAAAGCTGCAAGTACAATAAAGAGTGAAAAGCAACAGCCACCGCCAAAACCTTACAATGAAACTAGCCTTTTGGAGGCAAGTCATTCCAAACAGCTTGACATTATAAACGGCTTTAAGCTAAGGGGAGAACTGGAGCAAAAGTTTGATGTGATAAAGTGTACTATACTGTGGGTAATTGTGGAAATACAGTTAGATACTGTGCTAGGCTGGATTGACTAGAGGCAAACAAATCCAGTGACAATCATATCCGTATAAGAAAGAGCTTTATAGAAAGGAGTGATTACATATTAAGAAAGGCTCCTAGCACAGCCCAAGGCCAATCTCAGTCCATAAGTCTTTCTTCAGACTCCCGCAGCCACACCAAGTGATGCAGACGGCTGGGAGACCGCAGGCTGGTGGGTACAGAGTCCTGCGGATCCAAGGGCGATGGGAACATGGCAGGGCCACCCCGGCAGCCCTCAGGGTCAGTGACTTCATCCCAGCAGGCAGGAAGGCAAAGAGGGAGAGAAGGGGGAGGGTCCCAGGGTCCTCCTTATAGAAGGCCACCCGCTTAAAGAGACAGCATCAGGCTGGATTCTACCTCTGCAGTTTTACACATCTTCCAGTTGACATACAAATTATCTAACTATACAGGAGGGTGGAGGGGAGGTGGGGGAGAAAGGGGGAACCGATTACAAGGATCTACATATTATCTCCTCCCTGGGGGCCGGACAGCGGAGAAGTGGGTGAAGGGAGACGTTGGACGGTGTAAGACATGACAAAATAATAATAATTTATAAATTATCAAGGGTGCATGGGGGAGGGGGGAGCAGGGAGGGTGGGGAAAAAATGAACTGATACCAAGGGCTCAAGTAGAAAGCAAATGTTTTGAAAATGATGAGGGTGACAAAGGTACAAATGTGCTTGACACACTGGATGGATGCATGGATTGTGATAAGGGTTGTATGAGCCCTCAATAAAATGATTAAAAAAAATAAGAGCTGTACAGGCCCCCAATAAAATGATTTATTAAAATTAAAAGAAAATTATCTAACTGAACCAAATACACTTGATCTTAGCCAAAAGGCCGAGAAGCGATTTAACCAAATACAAATGTAAACGCTAAACGCCTGGGTAGAACATAGTGATATAGATGTGCCACGGAGGATGGCTGTGTGCCCGGGCAGTCTGCAGTGGTTTCCCTCCAGCAGACCGCCCTGGACGTATCATTTGTGTCAGTGCCCAAGGATGAAGCCATGTTCTCCTCTGAATGTTGGATTTCCTTCAGTCTATCTATCCATTCCTTTAAACTTTATAAAAATCTTTTTACTAAACCTCTATAAAATAACAAAATAGCATTTAATTCATGACAATGAATACCTTCTTTTATTTGTATAAAGATGAGACTGCCTACTCCCGTCAACAGTCCCCGTTCGGGAAGTCACAGGGGCAGGCCCGAGGGTCGCTATGGGTGGGGATCAACCTGATGCAGTGAATGAGCTTATTTGTCGACGTTTGCAATCCTGTTGAAGCTCCCATAGAGAATTAGGCTGCTCTCACGTCTATAAGTTTGTGAGAGCTGCCTGTTCAGTTTATTCACAGTACGATACCTTGTTATTTCCTCTTCCTCATTCAAGAATGGAACTGAGATTTTACTAGTCTTATCTCATTACATAGTGTACTTAAAAGATAGTCATTTAATCCTCTTTTGTTTCGTGATATAAAACATTTCACTAAATAAATAAACCGCTTCACTATCCTTTGTACCTGGAACAACTTGTACCGTTTCAAAACCTTGAAACAAGCTTATTTTGGCCTGTCATTGTAATCATTGTGTAGTGGTGGTGGCTTCTGACCTCTGATGTCACAAGGAGAGAAAAGAATCAAGATCCAGACCGCAGGCTGATCCCTGAGGCAGACGTCGGGCAAGCCTCCTTGACCCACCGCCTTTTCACCAGTCTGGCACCAGCCATCCTTCAGCAGCACCCTGACCTCCCTGCCGGGTGGCAGCGCTCACAGCCAATGTTCACGGTTTATTAGGAAAGTGACAGGTTATAATTCAGGATCAGGAACACTCAGGATACAGCTCTTTACCTCCTTCTTGTCCTCTGGTGCTGGCACCTGCTTAGGCAAGTGTTAACAGAGCTCTTTGGGGGGAAGGAGGGAAAAGACTGGAGTTGATACCAAGGGTTCAAATAGAGAGTAAATGTTTAGAAAATGATGCCAGCAACCTATGTACAAATGCGCTCGATACAGTTGATGTATAGGAAGTTATAAGAGCTCCCGATAAAATGATTTCAAACAAACAATAATTAAAAAACAAAGCTCCTTAGCTCATCTAAAAAGTGTCCCCTTGAGAGTGATGAGGGCAATGAGTGTGCGGGTACACTTTGCACAGTTGATGTGTGTGTGGATTGTGATGAAGGTTGTTTGAGCCCCTATTAAAATGATTAAAAAATAAATAAATAAATAAATGAACATTCAGAAACTGAAAAAATAACAAAATAATAAAAAGTGTCCCCATTCCACCAGTGAGCCTCAGCCAGCGCTCTTGTTGTCCCTGGTGTTACTGTTCCGTCGTCTCCCTGGTCTAGGTGGCTCTCCAGGTCTGAAGGACGTGCCACATGCCTGCCTCTTCTTGGCGGTCTGAGCTTGGCTCTCTTGGAAAGCCTAGCAGGATGACAAAGCTGACCAGTCGCCTCATTCGGGTTCCATAGACCTTATTTGCATTCCTAGCAAACTGTCCAAAGCTCTTGGTAGTCCCTGAGCACCTTATTTTTTAAATTCCTGCCACTTATTAAGGAGCAGTGATGGAGGTGTGGGTCACATGTTAGGTCATGGCTGCTAACTGGAAGGCCAGCAATTCAAACCCACCAGGTACTCCACAAGAGACAAATGAGACTCAGCTCCTGCCACCCTGTCCTACTTCTGCCCTTTGGGGTCGCAGGGAGCAAGAGTCGACTCCGTGGAAGTCAGCCAGAGGCCAATCCGCTGGTGGGAGTCGCGGGGATCCACAGAAGGACCTTGGGAAGTGACCCATTGCTTCGCATGCATGATTCCCCCGGAGAGATAGGAGGGTCGCTGTCAGTGTCCGGGCCCTTTATAGCTGACTAGCATAGACACCCCTTTAGTGTTGTGCCTTTGTTTTGTTTTCGTCTTTCTCCTGTTCGTTTGTTGCAGTTCGAGGTTGGACTCCTTTCTTCCAGGGACCCGGATCATCCTGACTCTCCAACATCCGCACGCCCGAGGCCTCTGACCCTCTGACCCTCTGACCCTCTGCTCTTTGTCTCCCCGCAGCCCTATGTGTCACTGGCTCAGCAGATGGCACCACCTAGCCCAAGCAACAGTACCCCTAGCAGCAGCAGTGGGAGCAATGGAAATGACCAGCTAAGCAAAACCAACCTGTACATCCGGGGATTGCAACCAGGCACTACTGACCAGGACCTTGTTAAGCTGTGTCAGCCGTAAGTTAGAGAACATATGGGGAGGCTTCCAGGCGTGGGGCAGAGTTGGCGGTGCTTACTGCTTGCCAGGGACGCTTCGCCTGAAATGCAGTCGTGTTCTGCTTCGACCTCGTTGTGCCAGCAGTCTAATTTAACGATACCCTACCTACTTGTTAGATTCCTCTAAGGACAGCCACGAGAGGACAGACTTTTGTAAGCATCTCCCCTGGACTGATGACTTTAGTGGAAAGATCTCTTTCCTCCGTCTTGCATTGCAGTACTCAGCACCACTACAGAGATATCTTAGGAGGGTCACAGGAGCTTGCACGGGGCACAGAAGAAAGTGGGACTAGCCAGCCGAACAATCCTTTTTGGAGCGTTTCTCTCTCTGGAGATATTCCCAGTAAAGCTGAGGAAGCTGAGGAGAGAAATGAAGAAGGAGAAAGAGGAGGAAAGTAAAGGGAAAAGCAAGAGGAAGAAAAGGAGCCCTTTGCCCAAGTGGCTTGTGTAGGCTGTGGGCTGCTAACCGCAAGGTCAGCAGTTCAAACCACCAGCGCTCCGAAGGAGCCTGATGAGGCTTTCTACTCCCGTAAATAGTTACAACCTGGGAAGCCCACAGGCACAGCGCTGCCTGTCCTACACGGTCACTGTGAGTCGGAACCCACTCGATGGCAGAGCTTTCTGAAAAGGGAAAGGGAGGCCACCGCTCTGAAGCCGCGGGTTCTTCTGGGTTGTGGTAGAATCCACCCAGTTGGGAACGTTGAAAAAGAGGGCGGAAAGGCCCTGCCCAATTTCGTTCGGCAAAAAGGCCTGCGTCATCGTAAGTCCCATATTTTGGATGATGCTTAGAGAGAGGCGTGGGGGTGGTTTGAGAGACGCAGGAGTTGCGGGAAGAGCTGAGTTTGCTAAGTGGACGGTGGGGAGAGCTGGAAAAAGACGGTGTTCGTTCTCCAGTTTTTAAAACTTTTCGTGGAGGTGTCAGCGATACCGAAAACTACCCTTATGAACACACACTCTGTGAACACACAGAAGTGCACCTCGCTCTGCGGAGCTCACCTCCTCCTTCCTCTTCCTCACACAGGTGTCCACCGTTTGACTTCTAAAGTAGTCGGTGGGGGTGGCCTGGGCGTCACAGAAATAGCGTCAGATAGTTCATACCCTTCTGCCTTACTGCTCGGCTCCGTGCTGCTTGTGGGAGTCATCCATGTTTGGGACGCAGCTATCGTGTGCTCATTCTCATGGTTGTGCCGAGTCCCATCACAGGGAAGTACCACAACTCGGACAGATGGGCTGTTTCGGGCCTGTGTCTATTGTGAATAAGCGGTGCTGGTCTAACCTTATTTACTCGTTTATTCTTCATGCACATGTTTGTTTCAAGACACAATATGAAATCCATTGGAGATGGTGACTTAGAGATGAGGAATGAAGGAGAAAGTAAGGAGAGGAAAGGCGATAGGTCTTGGATGGATTAATGGTGACCACGTGCTAAGAATTCAGATTATGCTTAATTTAGCTCTTCATCTTTTTTTTTTTAAGTTCTCATAAACAGGTGTCCCTGCAAATCCAGAAATTACATTAATGTGGCATTAGAAATTGCACAGCATGCTGAGAAGCTACAGGATAGCTTTCCCAAGCGTGTAAGCATTCTGGTGAACTGTATGAAGGTCTCCTTGTCGTTGGGTGCATGTGTGTACACCTTTCTGTTGGGTGTACACCTGGGAGTCAGTTTGCTGAGTCCAAAGATCTACACCTGTAGGAACTTCTAACACATTTCTGAAGCGGTTCACATTACCAGGCAAGTACGTCTTAGTATTCCAGGTTCTCAACCTTCCTCGTGCCGTGACCCTTTAGTGCAGCTCCTCATGCTGTGGTGACCCCCCAACCATAACAGTATTTTCGCTGCTACTTCATCACTGTCATTTTGTTACTGTTATGAATCAGGCGACCCCTGTGAAAGGGCCGTTCGACCCCCAAAGAGGTCATGACCTACAGGTTGAGAACCGCTGTTCTAAAGCCTGGAGAGGCCCAAAATGTGACACACACACACACACACACACACACACACACACCGATGCAGTGAGGCATAGAGGGACTGTGTAAATCCTTTATTCTTCTGGGGTGTGAGTGTAACCCCTGCAAATCATCTGGGCTTTTGCCAAATCAACCCACTAAAACCAAACCCACTGCCATCCAAGTGGCTCCAGCCCCTAATGGCCCCGTGGCAGAGCAGACTACTCCTGGGGTTTCCAGGGCAGTCCGTCCTGCTGAAGCAGAGTACCACGTCTCTCTCCTACCCTGGGCCGGGGGGCTCCTCCTGCTAACTTTCTGGGTTCGGCAGCTGAGTGCTTCACCAGCACCCCTTTGCTAACAAACTCAACCTCTCAACGCTAGGTGTATACATCAGACCGGCCCTCCCTTTACCCCAGCTTCCCACACAGAAAGGCATGTCAGTGGAACGTAAGGGGCTTGGTCTAGGGCGCGTCATTCTGAGAGGGTGAGCATGTGGCTTATGAAGGACAAAGGCCATCATCTGTGTTTGGGTTCGTGATTTCTGCACCCTGTGCTCTTTATCTCAGATGCAATGTGCTACAAAATCCTCTCCTATCCCAAGGACAGAGGAGAAATTTAATTCTCCTGCAGGTACTTTCAGACCTTCATCTTGCCCTCCCGACCGTTGACCTATCTTTGACTGTGTCCGAGGGACGAGCGCCAAGGATGGAAGTCGGGAAGCCCGAGGGGCTGTGGGGAGGGCTGAGTGGGCTGAGCCGAGCTGGCTGGTGGGTGGGCCCTGTGAGCTGGGAGTTCAGCCTTTCTAGGAAGGGTGTTTCCCATGCGTGGAAGGACTTCCTGTCTTTGTCCCAGCTGTCTCTCCCTGGGCTGCAGGGGAAGCAAATGTTGCTGGATCCCCAGCCCTGGTGGGCGGGCAGAAGAGGCGTGGAGTCTGGGACTAGAACTCCCGGTTCTCTTGGAGGGCTCCTTCCTAGGAAGAAACGGTAGCGTTGCCAACGGCAGTGGAAACTCTGAGCTCAAAAGTCTCAGGCTGCTCAGACCACAGCAAGCTCCACCCTGGGGCCTTGATCGGGAGAACAGCCTGTGTGTCCTCTGGTCTCAGCCCCACTGCTCAGGAACCCCCCACCCGCCCGCCTATGTTTGGGGGAGAATCTCAGTGTGCACCCCTGAAGGGCTAGAATGGCCACATCCACCCACCCCCAATCTGATGTGCTCTTTTCCAGGCCCCCAGGGCAGCCTTTCCCTTGTTCTGCCTACCCCGCTGTGTCAGGGCAGTGAGAGGTCTCTGAGAGAAACAGCTGAATCGCTCAGGGAGAGAACGAGGGGGGTGGAAATGCTCGTGTGGCGTGTTGGACTCCAGCTCAGCCCTGCCAACCGTTCTCAGTGAGCTTTGCATTGTGATTTTGTTAGTGATTCCTGCTTTAGCTCTTCAATACCTCCACTCTCTTACTGTGGAATGTCAGGACCTTTCTTAATGAGCGGAACGCCTCTAAAAATCCCTGACTTGTCACACTCCATTATTCAAGTTTGGGGAGCAGTCTGTATGATACTGCTGCCAAGGGTCACTTTTTTGGAAGTGGAAAACCACGACTCTCCTCCAAATAGAGAATGACCACACGTCAAAGATGCATCTTACTCGTTAGGGGAGGAACCGGGAGGATGGCCACATGGGCTCAAAGGGACTTTTAGGCACTGAGAATTGAGTAGGCTCTCAAACCAAAAAGGTTGGACAGATTAGGTGCAGAGCCTGGTGCATATCCTATAGGACAATACACCCAATAACCTCTGGGATGATCTTTACTGCTGGCTAACAACAATTTGTGTTTCTACCGGACCCACATCTTCAAATTAGATTTATATCTTCACAAGGTCTGGCCCTTAATGAAGCATAAGTTAAGCAAAGAAACATCCTCGTAGATCATGAAGTACTTACTCTGTGGGTGAACCTTCTAGACAGTGCCCCAGAGAGCCACTGAAACAGGCAGCCTCCCTTTGCCTGATTAGCAAGAGTGCTGCTGTGCACACACACACACACACACACACACACACACACCCAGCACACTCACATCTCAGCAATGGGAGGGGTACAGGAGGGCAACAGCAAGAGCCATTTCTTGTAGATTAAACTTGGGAGCCCTGGAAATAACAATGAAAATAGCAGTTAAGATTCTCCAACTGCTTTACCACGGGGCAGACACCAGCGCCTGTTATGTTCATCAGCCCACTTCCCGCTTCAGGGAGCACATCTCCATGCTGCAGGTGAGGAGGCTACGGCATGGGGAGGGTAGATTAGAGATCACACTTGCCTTGAGACAATCTGGAATTAAAAGAAAGAAAGAAAATCACACTTTGCTACAAAGTTAAAAATTTGATGTCTATCTAGAGAATATAGGTGGGATAAAGAATCGCAAGGAGAAAACAACGGGACCGATGGTTCCAGGGGTGGGGGTGGGAGGACACGGGAGAGGGGGAAACAGGAAAGGAAGGGGGGTGTCAGTCAAACCAGGGACAAGGGAACAACAAGTGACCTAAAATCGATGGTGAGGAGGGTGTAGGTCTGGTCGGGCTGGATCAAGGGCAGTGTAGCCGAGAGGAATTACTGAAACCCGAATGAAGGCTGAATATGATAGTGGGACAAGAGGAAAGTAAAAGGAAATAGAGGAAAGAAGTAGGAAGCAAAGGACATTTATAGAGGCCTAAATACAAGCATGTACATATGTAAATATATTTATGTATAATGATATATATATTTATATGTTAAGTATTAAGGTAGCAGATGGACATTGGGTCTGTACTCAAGTACTCCCTTAATGCAAGAACACTTTGTTCTAATAACCCGGCATTCTGTGATGCTCACTTTCCCGACACGATTGCTGAAGACAAAATGGGTGCATAAGCAAATAAGGAAAGCTGATGGTGCCCGGCTACCAAAAGATCTAGTGTCTGGGGTCTTAAAGGCTTAAAGATAAACAAGTGGCCATCTAGCTGAGAAGCCACAAAGCCCACATGGAAGAAGCACACCAGCCTGTGTGATCACGAGGTGTCGATGGGATCAGGTGTCAGGCATCAAAGAACAAAAAATCATATCATTGTGAATGAGGAGGAGTGCAGATTGGGGACCCAAAGCCCATCTGTAGGCAATTGGACATCCCCTTACAGAAGGGTCACAAGAAGAAACAAGCCAGTCAAGGTGCAGTATAGCACCGATGAAACATACAACTTTCCTCTTGTTCTCTAATGCTTCCTCCTGCCCACGATCATGACCCCAATTCTACCTTATAAATCCAGCTAGACCAGAGCATGTGCACTGGTACAGATAAGAGCTCGCAACATAGGGAATCCAGGACAGATAAACCCCTTCAGGACCAATATTGAGAGTAGCGATACCAGGAGGGGCTGGGGAAGGTGGGGGAGAGAGGGAGAACTGATCACAATGATCTATATATAGCCCCCTCCCAGGGGGATGGACAACAGAAAAGTGGGTGAAGGGAAACATCAGTCAGTGTATGACATGAAAACATAATAATCTATAAATTATCAAGGGTTCATGAGGAAGGGAGGGTGGGGGAAGGAGAGGGAAAATGAGGAGTTGATACCAAGGACGCAGGTAGAAAGAAAATGCTTTGAAAAGGATGATGACAACCAATGTACGAATGTGCTTGACACAGTGGATGGAGGTATGGATTGTGACAGGGGTCCTCAAACTACAACCCTCGGACCACATGCGGTCCACTGAGGACATTTAAAAATGATTCGAGAGCCCCAAATATGTTTTTACAAACAAGTGACATCAACCTCGTGTGAATAATATCCTTTGGGATTTTTCCAGTTCACTTCGAACCCCACGCATGTACTAAAAGGGCCGCAGCTTGCCGACTGAGTCTGGGTGGACCCTGGCAGACCCCTTTCCTGAAAAGGCAGTGGTCTCTTTCCAACCAGCGTCTGGGGAGAAGAGAGTGTGTTGGGCCCCAACTCCCCTCGTTCTATGGGGCTTCCCTGCACTTTGCAGCCCCTGCGCTTCCCCCAGACGCAGGGCTGGTGGCCGCTGAACACTGCAAACATCGCCACACGGTTTCCAGCAGCCCGCGCTCCCTGTGTGGACGTTTGTCACATACTGGCCACTCTTGCAAGCTCTCCAGTGTTTCCATGACATGGTTGCACCCCTAGGAGGTCACAGCAAGGGTGAAACCATTGCTTCTGTACGTCCTGAGAAACCAAAAAGTCCACATGGCCTGCTTTCTTGTGCGATTTACTGTGGTCTGGAACGGCACGGGGGGCCCTGTCTGACCTCTGGCTTGCCCGTGCTCCAAAGCGGGGTTCAGCTGTGCTGCCAGCCTCCCTCCTTCTTCACCCCGTGTAGGGGGGTGCCGCAAAGCACCGCAGTGGCCCAGGACTCTCACAGGCACTACTCACGATTAGGGGAGTGTTGCCGGGTGCCGGGCATCGATTCCTCTCAGGGTGACCCTGTGCGCAGCAGAAGGACTCGTCCCCGGGGGCTGCACCAGCCTCAT